CAACTCCATCTATAATGACTGTGATGCCAACAATATTAAAATTAGAAGTAGTTAAAAAATGCAAATATTGGTTCTGATATACTGGGCCTTAGACTTAGACTTAGACAAACTTTATTGGTCCATAAGAGAAATTGTTTGGACACAGTAGCAAAAATATCAATGGTAATAATACAGCGGAAATAACAAACCACTGAGGGCCCAATATACCAGCGCCGATATTTTATTATTTTTTAATTGTATTATACTGTATTTATACGCCAACAATCCAGTGGTCCCAGACAGCACCCTCCCTATGTGCCACAATTGAACAAAGCCCAGAGGCACTGTGAACGCGCCAAACAAAATCCCACTGACCCATCGAACTGTTGTGTTTCGTTTAAAGTCCAGTGCGGTTTATTTGTGAAAAAAGTTTGAAAATAGACCATTTAATGACAGTGCGTCTTATAATCTAATATATGCCTAATAGCCTGCAAAATACGGTACATATATGTTTTTATCTTTATCTGTTTTTAATAGTGCTTAATAAATGAACTGGATTGGATTTGGATATTTGCACTGTTTAGCACTTTGGGTATCGTCCTTAAATCTCCAGCAGAGGCCTCTACTTTGTCACCCCAACAGGCTGCTGAACTAAGCATAAAGACTACATGTATAAAGCTTTATTTGATCACATCCAAAAGGATATCCAGAAATTCAAATACATATCAGCCCACTAATATCGGCAAAGCTTGTCAGTAATAGGTTTTTCTGGATACAATCGGTGTCAGCCATGAAAAAAACAAAACAAAAAACATATCAATCTCTAACTATCCCTAATTAAAATGTAAAAATTTGCCCAAGTGACATGTATTAGGAACCAGGCAAAATAAAATATGGTAGTGTCCTCCATCTGTGTGTACGCGACAGTTTACACAGTTTAAAAACACAGTGGAGCACTTCCTGTATTACCACATGACATCACAAGGTAGAGCAGAGTATTTTCCTTTTGAGAGAACTCAGCCTAAATATGCAGGATTTGTGAGTTAAACATGTGTAAATTAAACAAAACACAAGTCCAGTTATGTCTGTGATGAGGAAACAACATTGTAACATAGCTCAGAAAATAGTGTAATGTGGATTATTTATGGACCAATTATGTACAAAATGACCTTGAATATTACTATGATCATCATAAATTACAGGGCAGCTGCAGCAGTATTGGGTGTGGTGGCTTTTCTTCTTTACACTTTTTACCATTCATTGAGCATGAAGATAGAATAAACAGGTGTCATTTACTGTACGCTTTGTTAGAGCAGCATTTACTACACCAGTGGGGCTCTGTGTAAAGATGTGTGGTATTTATAATAGAGGATTAAATCATAATCATGTCACGAAACAGTGTTCGGGGAATGGTTATGCACTGTGATGTAATACTGATAATACAGTACAGACATATGTGATTGATAAAACTGTGATGCAGCACCTATTAATCTGTTGGCTACATAAAGGTTCACTATGTAACTTTTTGTTTTTCCAATGTGTTTTTTAACTACAAATGGCAAATAAACAAACCTACCCTATAACAATTTTAGCTCATTTAATTTTTACACAGGAAAGGAAGCAGCTTATATATGCAATGTTATGACATAACATTACACATGTCATTTTGTATCATCAATAGTTGAATATCAAATATCAGGAGCACTGGGCCTCTCAGAAAGTCTATATTATGCATTTGGGGTAAACAGGGTAAACATGTTTATGTCATCAGGGCATCAGGTCAAACTATTGCTGCTTAGTCCTGTTGTATAAGTTATTGGCATTTGAGAGGCTTACACTCACACACACTTCAAACTAATTTAATTACTTGTTCTTACCTCAGCAGCTCCATCTGCCAAGTTTCAGTCAAGTCGACTCTTTTCCAGAGTTTGGTTCTCACACATCAAATGAGCTTGAGCGCATTCCACTGCATGTGTGGACTAGAAATCCAAGTGTCACCCCCATATCATAAGGTGAAATCAAATGTTAATTCCTCTACACTGGTGCCTTCTGCTTTATATTTTAATCATGCCAATTGAAGAATGTTTCAGTCAATAGCAAAGTGAAAGAAATCTTGGTTCTATAATGTCACAATCAGTGTGGTCCATGGACAATGTAAAAGTGACCTGAAAATATTCATTGCCAATATGAAGATTTAAAGACATGAGCAGTTTTTGGTTTTCTCTGTTGAAAATTGACATTTGCAAAACAGCTCACACAAAATCCTAAGCAGAATTTTAGTTTTCCTAAGTAAAATTTAATCTCAGAAAGATGCATTTTTACATTCAAAACGGATAAATCACCTCCCAAAAGCAAGTTTTACTGTAAAAACTCTCAGACTTTGGTCATGTGTTTTTCTGTGCTCTTTAATTCATTTGATAGAACAGCTCTGAAGCCTTAGTCCTGCTCTCAGTGACCACAGAGAATCATTGGTTTAGTGCAGTCTGACATTGGGGTTCACACTTTACGCACAGGTGTTTTGGACTGGAAAAAATAGCTTTTTTTAAAATCTAAAACCTGACAGTATTATATTGTTAAATATAATTGTACACATTACCAATTGCAAAGTAGATTTTGCAGTATTTTATCAAAAATAGTTAGGCTGAAGATTATTAAAACATGTTAGTGTTAGAGTTAATATAATATAATATAATAGGATATAATATAAATAATATAATATAATATACTGTCATGTGCTCTTGAAGATCAAACAAGGCATTTACACATCTCATTGTGCATATATCGGTGTGCAGTTTATATGATCATACTGCACACTCTGCTGAGATCCTTCTCTCTGTCTGACACTTATGAAATCCTTTGCTGTTAGATTTTTGGTGCTCACCAATTGCAGATTTTTGCTGTTGCTGACCTGTGGTATTAAAAACTCAATGATCATGTGTGTTTCTGACTAGACATGTGTCAAGTGTGAAAGAGAGAGAATCTGAGAACTGCATGAACTGATGTGAAATGTTCCAACAGATTTAACCACCTCTGCTCCTGTTCAGATACCTCTGAAAGAAATGAAAATTAAAATGATTAAACTAAACCCAGTTTACAAATAATGTGCCGAAACGATTGAAAAAACTGTACACTGTCTAAAGCCTTAAAACTACCATCTGTAATTTCATTGGCTGACCCAGGCCTGTTGTATTCTTACATATCACCACTAGAGGGTGTCTGTGTTACTGCTGTGCCAGCTTTTGGCCTAACAACAAGTCCAGGTGAGGGGCCAGGTGAAGAAAGAAAGAAAGAAAGAAAGAAAGAGAGTGGGTGCAGGTTTCAAATCTGACATCTACTGGTAACAAAAGACAAATAAACTTAGATGACAGCTTTAACTCCTTTAGTAAATTTATTAATCGATTGGTTCTATTTGGCAGTGATTTTATTGTGATGATAAAGGTTTAATAAAAGCAGACTGGAGAAGGTATGGAGTGAGGTAGCTGGAGTTTCTGAAGTGAATCATGCTTTTAACAGGACACTGTTAATAATCTGTATTCATAGTTATTATCTCTTCTTACGAGTAAAGTTTGAGTCAGCTGCAAGGTCAGATCACAGAGATGTAGAGATGCAGGAGAGAACTGAGAGTTTGCACCAGAGCCTGTAGAATAATGTATGGCATTTCATATTTTTCTTACAAAATGTTGCATTTTTATTCTATATTTTTTTTTTACAGATTATATTGAAAACATTTTCTTTCAGGGTGTGCCGTGCAGTGCCCTGCAGCTTTTAGTGAATGGAATATGAAGAAGTTGCCAGCAGAGAGGAGCTATGGAGATGGGCCCAGACAAGAATCAGCAACTCCTTATTCTCAGTCCTAAAACCTCAATGACTCCAACAGTCATTTAAAGGTACAATATGCCACATCTCTGGTAAAGGGTTTGCCACTTGCTTGTCTCTGTGGAAATGGGTGTTACTTTCCTTAGAATGATAATAATATAATTAATATAATGACATGGAACTCATTTGCATGTTTTCAGTTACAAGTGTTTAATTACTTAAAAGAATCCCTTGAAAAACAGATTTATCCTGTTACTTGGCCTGGTGCTGTTATCTGCATAAACTCCATAAACATTTCAGGCAAAGCTATAACATCTCTAGAAAAGCAGTGCATAGATCCATTGTCCACCTTTAAATGTGTTCTCTGTAGCTTCCTCCCACCCTCCAAAATCATTCAAATATTAAGTACTTTGCTGCATCTAAAAACTGTAAAACAAGTAGAAATAAAAATATCACATGAAAAAATCTATTCAAGTAAACATATTAAAGTACCTAAGTAAGTATTAAAGAGTAAAAAGTAAAAGTATTTTGCACAGATTTTGATGTCTTATATGGCATCAAAAGTATTAATTTTGATACAGATTTGTGCTGAATGTTCTTCAACCAAAACAATTGAATCAATAGTTTTTTTTCTTTGTATATGTGTGTTTACTCAAGTTATAAATGTCTTAAAAAACCCTCAGCCTATTCATCTGGTCTCACACAATAATGAAAAATACTTTTACTTCTCAGTCCTGTTCAGTAATGGAGTAGACAGTATAGATAACTGGTCTGAGATGTAGTGAAGTAAAAGTAAAAAGTATCAACTGTAAAATGTACTACAGATACCTAAAAGATTAAATTAATTACTGTACAATACTTTACTACTTTTACTTTGTTACCTTCCACCACTGTTGGAGTATACACAAGTGCTTGTATAAGACTCTCCAACCAGGTGCACCATGGCCTACAGCTAATCGAATGAAAATGCCTTCTATAGCACGTCTTTATGTTTTCCCCAGGCTTTGCTGCCAATGCCTGCTCACAGCGGGGTGTGTCAAGCAGTGAGAGTCTTATAGAGGTGACACTGTTACCTGCCCAACCTGCTTCTCTGGGATGCAGGTAAATGAGGGGAGGGGCAGGGGGAGGTGGGACACGGGAACCACCCCCAGCTCAGGTGTATAAAATGCCTCCGTCTCCTGCTACATGACACTCAGAGGGACTTGACTCTCCTCTAAGTGCACTCCACTGCTCTGCCTCTCTTCTCCCTTCCTTTGCAACCATGAAGACCGTAACAAGAACCACCCGCTCCAGCATGAGCGGTGGTTTCGGCGGCAGTAGTGGTGGTTTCAGCAGCGGTGGTAGCATCCGCATGTCCAGTGGTGGCGGCGGCGGCGGCTTCGGTGGGGGCTTCACCTCCAGATCCGCCATTGTCTCCCGTGGTCCCGTTATGTCCTCCGCATCTGTGAGACTGGGCTCAGCGGCCGGTGGTGGAGGCTTTGGCATGGGAGGACTTGGATTTGGTGGTGGCGCTGGAGCAGGATTTGGTGCTGGAGCAGGATTTGGAGGTGGTGCTGGTGGTGGTGCTGGATTCGGTGGTGGTGCTGGATTCGGTGGCGGTGGATTCGGTGGTCCCATCACCCCAACCATCTCCAATGTTACCGTGAACTCGAGCCTGCTGGCCCCCGTATCTGTTGATATCGACCCCCAAATCCAAGTTGTGCGCAACCAAGAGAAGGAGCAGATCAAGACCCTGAACAACCGCTTTGCCTCATTCATTGACAAGGTAAGATGATGTAAAATCAGCTATGTGGATATGAAAGGACAGGGGGATGAAGAGACAGTGCTAAATTAGACCATGCAATCTCATTACGTGGTCTTTCTAAGATCACACAGCTCACAAAATATTAGTGACCTCACAAGAGCAATGCATCCACATACAAATGAAACACAGCTGAAGTATTAAGATTCTGCTTTGTCTAAATTGGACTTTTATTACTGTATCATGGAAGACTTGATGTGTGCATAGACAGAAGGAGTTGGAAGAGCTTGTTGTAATTGAAAGTGCAAGCAGGAAACACAACCAGACTGATCCAGTAACAGATGGCAGTGAGGGATCATATTCTCACCTGGTCCCATGGCAGCACACACTCAATGGGCACAAGAAACCCAACACTCCCCTCACTGGTTGTAAACCACTGGGTAAAACACTCGGGTTTTAACTTGCTGGTTTGACAGTTTATAGCTGGAGGAATCTAATTTATTTGCTTAGACGTGCTTGGGACAAGTTCCATCAGTGAAAGTGTCTCTCAGTCTTCAGAGCTCTCACATCATGTGGAGAAGGTGTGGCCAAGAGCACATACCAAACCTCTTCCATTGTGACCCTCAATAAAGTATTTAAGTCATGTTATTGTTCTAATGTAGAATTATTCAACTAGTAAAACGATCTAGTTGTAAACAATCATTTTAGTACACAAAAAAGGCACACTGGCTTGACTTTAAGTTCAACAAAAGACAAACATTTGGAGTTTGAATGTACAGTTTTTGATGCTTTGCTTATGAGACATTTCTAATTGCATTATTTGGCATCTTCAGGTGCGCTTCTTGGAACAGCAGAACAAAATGCTTGAGACCAAATGGAGCCTGCTTCAGGAACAGACCACCACCCGCTCCAACATTGATTCCATGTTTGAGGCCTACATCGCCAACCTGCGCAGACAGCTCGATGGGCTTGGCAATGAGAAGATCAAGCTGGAGGGAGAGCTGAAGAACATGCAAGGCCTGGTGGAAGACTTCAAGACCAAGTGAGCTCAGTAAATACAAAGCGGCTTATTTAAAAATGTATTTCTTCCCTGCTAATAGTTGCTCTTGTGGTGCAGATATGAGGATGAAATCAACAAGCGCGCCACAGTGGAGAATGATTTTGTGCTCATCAAGAAGGTAAGAGACACACAGAGAAGGTAAAGCACCATGTGAAAGAGTGGATTCTAATGTGCTGCTCCCCTTTGGCAGGATGTTGATGGTGCCTACATGAACAAGGTCGAGCTGGAGGCCAAGGTCGACTCCCTCACAGACGAGATCAACTTCCTCAGAGCAGTCTATGAAGCAGTAAGGACACATGCACACAAAACATCATGAAATATTAACACAGCAAATCTTTATTCTATCTGCAAACAGAATAATGAAAATATTTTGTCAATATGTAAGTTTAATTTTTACTTTCAAGGAACTGGCTGAGCTCCAAGGACAGATCAAGGACATCTCAGTCATTGTGGAGATGGACAACAGCCGTGGCTTGAACATGGAGGCCATTATTGCTGATGCTAAGAAAGAGTTTGAGGAAGTTGCTAACAGAAGCCGCCTGGAGACCGAGAATTGGTACAGCGTTAAGGTACAACCAAGGAACTTACTACAAATAATATCAATTTGACCTTCAGAAAACAGCTTTGAATGATAAATTCTTGTTTTAAATCAGATTGAGCAGATGCAGACCTCTGCGGGACAGTATGGAGAGGACCTTCGCAACACCAAGAACGAGATTGCCGAGATGAACCGCATGATCTCCCGCATCCAGAACGAGATTGAAACAGTCAAATCACAAGTGAGCTGACAATTCTTCACTTATTTCAGTCAGGAGAACATATGAAATGCATGCATGACTAACACCTGCCATGTTCCTCCAGCGTGCCAACCTGGAGGCTCAGATTGCAGAGGCTGAGGAACGTGGAGAGCTGGCAGTGAAGGATGCCAAGCTTCGCATTGCTGAGCTGGAAGAAGCCCTGCAGAGAACCAAGCAGGACATGGCCAGACAGGTCCGTGAATACCAGGAACTCATGAATGTCAAACTCGCCCTGGACATTGAGATCGCCACCTACAGGAAGCTCCTGGAAGGAGAGGAGGACAGGTAAGCAGTTGAAAAATATATATTATTTATGTGCAGTGATTGATGTGTAGAAATCATGCAAACTGATTTCTTTCTCTTCTCTTTTTCAGGATTGCAACTGGTACACAGGCCACAGTCCACATTCAGACCTCCAGCGCAGGTTTGTTTTGTCATAATATTAACACCTGTAATGTGGACATTTCAGAACAGATTTAAATAAAGCTCATTAGGCAGTAGGGTTTGGCTAACATAGTATTAAATTAAACATGTCAGAATCTGACGTTCCTCTTTTCTCTCACCAGGAGGAGCCGCTGGTGGAGGTGGTGGCTTCGGAGGTGGTTATGGAGCCGGTATGGGAAGCGGCATGGGAGGCGGTATGGGAGTTGGTGGAGGTTTTGGCAGCGGTTATGGTGGAGGCTTGAGCATTGGCGGTGGCAGCATGGGCGGAGGCCTGGCCATGGGAGGAGGCTACGGAAGCAGCATCAGCGTTGGAGGAAGCTCCAGGTCCATCAAAATGAGCCGCTTCTAAGCAGCAGAACTCCTCTCCACACTCTACGTCCCCTTTTTCCTATGTTCAGCAGAGCTCCTGTTCCCACCAGCAGGCCCATGTTTGAGAGAGTCAGAGATACCATCAGTCAGAGCAGCACACGAGTCAGTTCTCTCTTGTATCAGTCAGCCTAGATGTCTAGATGTTGTTGGATTTGGTGTCGCACAGACCAGAGTGTTTGTGTCCTGACAGAGAAGTCTTCACACAGAGCTGTAGGAAAAGGACTGCAGATATTCCTATGACAAACAAAAAAATCATAACAATGACCCTCATAGGCATAACTGTTCCCTTTCCTGCACCTCTTCAGCAACATGCACCACTGTCCTCTGAAGCGATTTTTACCCAAGTTTACAAAAACTGTCTTATGTCTGTATGTTCCACGTTCACTTTTTCCACACCATCAGGCTGACTGGAACTCCAGATTTATCCAAGTGTATGTACCATCTGCACCGCAAATAAATCTGACTCATAATCTTCAATTAATTCTCTGTCTCATGTTTTATTGTTATATGGGTACAGTTTATATACTTATATACGTATTGTTTACTAATACACACAATTTTAAAGCAGTTACACACATACATTGTTGCTTCAGTGAATGCATGTGTTAGTTATGTTTTGTTTCAGTCACACTTGTTTAGCGCACAAACCCTGCGTATTTAGGCTGATTTTTTCTCTTAAACAGAAAACACTCTGTTCCACCTTATGATGTCATGTGGTAATACAGTGCTCCACAGTGTTTTTAAACTCCGTGCAGCTTTGCTAGAATCATTTGAATAATTCTAATCCAAGAATTGCAACTCTCTACTAAACTAAAGGTCAAAGGTAGCCCTTAACTTGAAAACTAGTACTAAATGACACCATGGGGAGGAACAAAACATTTTGAGCTTTGGAGCTGTAGAAAGACTAATTATGGAGGGTTACTCAACCATGTATGAATGAAACAAAACATAACTCCAGATATGTTTTTGATGAAGTAACAACATTCTAGCACAACTTAAAGCACACAAGAGTGAATTTTATGTAATATAGGACATTTAAGTATAATTTATGAGTGAACCTCACCTACTTTTGAGCCACGTGACCCCTGACAGTGTATAAAGAGCTATGTAAGACCATTATGATGTTTGACAGTAGCCCTGCTTTGTCACCATTCATCTAATTTTGTCTGAAGTCAGCAAAAGAGAACTGTATTTCAGGCCTGGGGCAGGATGTCTGTCATGAGAACGCTTTAAATCAACAAAAATCAAAAGTTTGCAAGAGCTCTGGGCTGTGTACATTTGGGTTTATCTCCTGTGTGATATTTAAATCCACTGAGACACCTAAGAAGGCTGTCAGTGAGCATATCTTTCATTTGGGAATTCTGAAGGCTTGTAGTGTTAAGGTGTGAACAGGTGAAATAGCAGTTTATTATTGGGTTGACGGTATAGTGTGTTTTCATGCACAGAATTAAAAAAAAAAGCATAAGGAACAGAAGAAGTCTCTTGGGCGGAGGTTTTTAAGGTGCTCTTTTATAGCCCAAAAATACATAGAAAAACAGGCATTCTGACTGTGAGTGGGGTTCTTCTTCTTCTTCTTCTTCTTCTTCTTCTTCTTCTTCTTCTTCTTCTTCTTCATATGTAATAGAGATGGTTGCACTTTTATAGATATGTAGTTCAGTAAAAACAGATCCTGCCCCTAAAACTCTGTGGTCTACAACCTGCCCAGACAAGACTAATAGAAGTCAGTAATGATCCAAGAGTATGTCCCTATCCACACATTAGATAATGCTGTTATATTTGAAAGGATTATGTTGGAAAGGAATCGTGCTGGGATCATTCTATGTGTATCTTTAATAGTGATATGTAGGAGTGAACATAGTGACACAGTGCACAAATTAGCAAACACTGTTAAAAAAGTGATTTAAACAACTCATTTTCAGGTGGCTGTGATCAGTACGAGTGTTATTGGTCTGATCTTAGGTGTTTGATTTTCAACAAAAAAGGTGAGAGTGACAAACTGAAAATGTTTGGTTAATTTCATGTGAGAGCCTTAAGCCTTTGAGTGAACTAATCATTTCACTTGTCTTCAGTGGCACAAGAAGTACTCTAATTTTGTTACTTACGTAGAAGTACAAATACCAGAGATAAAACATCACTCAAGTAAATATAAAAGTAGGCTATCACATGAAAAAATCTACTTAAAAGTAAACGTACTAAAGAACCTATTGAAAAATGTCTTGTAAGACTTCAAATGTAGTGATTTATTTATAGTGAATTTTGTTCAAGAGAAACAATTGGATTAATTTATATTTATATAATTTTTATCTGTTTTTATTCATATATTTTTCTTTGCACAAATTACAAACATGTTAATAATAAACCACTCAGCCTTTTCAGCAAATTTCAAACATTACTACATTATTACATTAACTTTGTTACATTCCACCACTGCCTGCTGTAGCTTCAACCAAGGCAGGTCTTTCAGATCAGATTGCATTAAAACAAAGCTCAGTTTAAGTCTCCAGACAGAGTAGTGCTTTTAGTTAGCTTCACACCCCCAGGGAATGTTCATGACACCAGCTGTAAAGTACTTTTCTTGTTAACCTTGCACTACAGAAAAATGTCAGGGAGGCCCTGAAATGCATTGGGATATACTGCCCTCTGGTGGAAATGAGTCAAACTACTCTAACTTCAGAGCCTAAAGGTGTTCATCTAAGTCACAGATCGATTATTATTTGAAAAAACTTCAGTCTGTAGTGTGCTTGCACATGTGTATCTTATTGTAACATTGGACACAACTCTTAATATTGTTAAAGACTTACGGTATATTAAAATAGTGAATTCACCAAGGTTTCATTTGGCACACATCTCAACAGTATGTAACAACTTGTAAATAAACACATTTCATTTCATTTTGTGTTGTTTATTTAGTTTACAGTGAAATAGTTAGCAGCATGTCCCTCTTGGAGGCGTGCTTTACAGGTTTAAAATGGGGTTTGCGAGATCTCAACATTTATTATACTGTACACACCTGCGCTAAAACACAAACCCACCACATTTTAATTTTTAAAGCTTTACCACAACCGTGTCTGTCTTTTTAATAACTGCACTTGAAATCAATTCAATAACTTCAATTAAAAAAAAAAAAAAAAAAAAAAAAAAAACTAAGTCGGTCATCTACATTGCTGTCCTTCTTGGATCGTCAGGGTCAAAGGTCATGATCTCCATGTGAATAAGACCTGAATAACAAAATATAAAAACAAAGCACATAATTTATTCAGACAAAGCACCATTACCATTACTGCAGTATATTTGACATACCCTGTCTGCTTTGCTATAATGAAGCAATATAGAATAATATCAAGAGTTGGACATTGTTTTGAAGATTTGGAAAAATCTATATACTTATTATATATATAGTCTTTGCATATTTGTCTGATAATTTATGGCTACTAACATTTAAAGGCATGTTTTACACACAATACGTAGTATATTCATAATAACTGAAATGAACTGAATATCAAATGCAACTGAATAATATTCACTTTGACTGATCAGTTGTTGGCACAGCTAGACTTGCCTTCTAAAATAGTATTTATCCCTCCTGTTGTGTGTACAATTACATATTGTTACTTACTCTTCCACTCCCCCACTGCCAGCTCCAGGCTCTCAAAGGAGTCATCGTAGGGCTCAGAGTCGGGCTCAGACTCAGGGTCGTGATACTCTGAGACGAAGGGCTGAGACAGGCCCTGTGCTGCAGTCAGACGCCGCTCTGGGTCCAGCAGCAGCATGCCCTCCAGCAACTCCACCGCTACATACACAACAACAGTGAGGACTTATGGAGTTAATGTAAATGCAGTATTAAAAGTGCAATATGTAACTTTTTTTTGGGGGGGGGGAGTCCGTCGTCCTGTTATTGCTTTGTCTGGAATGTTTCATAGCATGGCATTAAACCTTTCTATGTCCATGGAAACCAAACCAGGCCAAGTTACAGGTCAGATCTGTTTAAAGACAACCCTGCTCACAGTCAGAATGCCTGTTTTTCTAGGTATTTTTGAAAGTAAAACTTCCTGTAATTGGTAAATGGTAAATGGTCACATTTTTCTATAGCGCTTTTCCACCTTCAAGGCACTCAAAGCGCTTTACAACAAGGAACCATTCACCCATTCACACACACATTCATACACCAGTGTACGCAGACACTGTGGGCAAGGTGGGTTAAGTGTCTTGCCCAAGGACACAACGGCAGCATTCATCTGTGGGAGCTGGAATGACACCAGCCAACCTGTGGGTCAGTGGATCTGACCGCTCAACCTGTGATGTTTATGTCGAGAGCTGGATTCGAACCACCAACCTTCAGATCAGTGGGCAAAATGCTAATTGAGTAAATGTAAGGTGGAGCTATTTAATGTCATATTGTGGAACAGGCAGAGAAATGACATATCAATAGAAACATGCAGATCATGGACCCTCCATCAGAAAAGTTACACAATGTACCATCAAAGTATTAAAGTATCCGTTTAAAAATGTACTTAAAGTGTAAAAAGTTAAATATTTCGAACATATTTTGAGGTCTTATAAGGCTTCAGATGTAATAATTTTGATAGAGATTTATGGTGAATTTTGTTCAACAGAAACAAGTGAATTTATATTTCAGTTTTCATTTGCTTATTTTTGTTGTATATTATGCTTTATTAGTTATTTTTGATTTGGAAGACACATTACAATGATTTAACTTCTTTCAATCTTTAACATACTAACTCATTTTTTGTAATTTCCACATTAGTTTGCCCTTTTTGCATAATTTCCTTGTCAAAACCTGAACAAATGAGAGCTAACACATACAAATCTGATAACTCATACACAAAAAATGTTAATAATCTGAAAATGTTTCCAGAAATCAGATAATGGTCAGATTTTTGAAGTGTATGGAAACACAGCCACTGAATCAAGGAATGAAGAGAAGAGGCCAAATCAGGCACAAAGGTCCTACCATGTTTGTCCATATCAGGGAAGACCTCTCTGAACTTCCTCTTCTTCTGTGGAGGCAGGCCCTGTACGTACGTCTGTGCCTGTGTCATATACCAAACATTATCTCAGAATTATTACAAATGACATTTATTATATTCTGAGGTTAAACTTTGTGTACAGGTGTGTACTGTGTCCATGCTAAAGAGGACGCTGAACATTATTTATTGAAGAAATACCATGATTATAATAGTTTGCTTCCAAATGAAGTTGCACTACAGTGTACATACATACTATACTATATTATAAATGAGAATGTGACTTGACCTTCTCTGGTGTTTGCTTACTATAAATAATCAGTCAATCAATCTTTATTTATAGAGACTTTTATAAAACTCAAAATGCCCAAAGTGCTTTTCCAATAAAATTAAAGTTTAGATTGGTTTAATAAATGTTTTGGCCTCATCCTAAACTGGTAGCCTATGTTTTATAAGAGTTATTATGTGTGTCCATACTGGCTTGACAAAGTTTGGTCTCATCAGATCCCATAAGATAAGCAAGGCTGGACCTGGATAGTACTTGGATGGAGACCACAGGAAAACCAAGCACCACAGGGGGGCGCCAGTAGTAAAAAAACTACATTGTGTTCTTAGGAAAGGCATTTCATCCACATTGCCTAGAATGAAAGTGATGTGAGCGTGAGTGTTGGTGGTCAGAGGAGCTGATTGGCACAGAATGGCCGCTGCGCTTCCCCAGGGCAGCTGTGGCTACAATGGTAATTTACCACCACCAAGTGTGAAGTGAATGAATAATGCACACTGTAAAGCATCTTAATTAGCTAAATAATCATTTGAACATAGGTATATTTCTTTATTTTAAAATCATTCTTTATTTCTGTGTGCTTGGCTCTTGCAACAAACCGATAGTGTTGTCTTATATTATTGTCATTATTTTCCTCACTTCCGCACCTCCACTACTGTACCATTGTAAAATATTACTATTATATTGACATATTTTGTTAGCTGTTTCTCTTCACATACACTAAACTGTAAATTTAAATGATTTATTTTGATGTCTCTGTTAGCCCCTGTAAAAATGTCCATGGATTATGAAGTGTTCAATAGCTACACAAAAGTTCTTACATCTTTGCTCTGCATCTTCTGGACCAAGGTGCTGTCAGGAGTTCCTGTTAACCTCATGATCTTCTTCAGCTGGTCAATGCCTCAACAAACTGGTCAAAGACAAAACTCCACTCTGTTCCTTCATGCTCCTTCATATATTAAAGGTCTATTATGCAACTTTAGGGTGTGGGGTCAGCTTGTCAACTGCTTGTCTCCATGGAGATGTAATTGCTTTATGTTACGCAGTGTGACCTGAAACTTATCTATCATGCATTTATTCAATTAGATATATTTAAATAGCTAAATACGTTGCATTCTTGTGAGTGAAGTCACCAGTCCACAGATCTGACCTGTAACATGATAATGGTGACAACAACTTGTTTCTATGGAGTTAGATAAGTTTAATATCTTATTGTAGATCATTGCAGGCAAAGCGATAACATCTCCATGGAGACAAGCAGATAGCAGAGCCTCCAACACAAAAGTTACACAGTGAACCTTTAAATTATTAATAAACTTTGGATTGCTTTGTGAGGATACTGTCGTGTCCTGGGAAGAGAACTTGTCCAGTGATCATCTCAGCCAGGATGCAGGCAGCCGACCACACGTCCACTGGAGAAGAAACATCACAGTTACAGTTACATTCATATTTAGCAAAACCATCACATTTACTACAGCTACTCCTAATATACACTGCTACTTCAATTATTAATTATTATGATTAGTTATGGAACAATGTGAAAGTAGAACAAAAACATTGTCCACATATGCATGAGTTCAAAAGAGCATTTTAAAAAAGTATTGGACAGGATAATGTTAGTGGAAGAATAGTGGAAGAACCAAATGACAAAAATGTATTGAAATGTGTATACTGTACAGTTATAGTTTATGATGCATTTAGAAGGAAATAAGGAGTCTAAAGGCCAATTTACGATCCAGCGTCAAATTGTCTGCGTCACAATGCAGAGAGTCTGCGTCGACGTGAACCCTCTACGCAGAGCGTCTGCATCGACCAACGTGCACCTCCGAAATTTTCTAACTACATGTCAAAACGACACAAACAGCAAGGGAAGCAATGCAAACAATAAGGGCTGTGACTGGTCCTCTCTGCTACCGCTCTACATACATTTCCTGTACTCTGCTTTCCTTTCTTTCAGTATACATTGAGTAATAATGTGTTTAATGCAGCTTTGCCCATATTTGTTTACATTTTACAGAAATAAAATTTTATTAAAACTGCATGGCTAATTTGCATAAACTAAGCACTCAAAAAACACCTTGCTGTGTGCGCTGATGAGGTTCAGCTTTTGTCGAACTTAAAAAGGACATGACTAAGTGGAATATATGTGACATGACATGAATATGACAGAGGGGTGTTCTGCTAATGGTGAGTGTGTTCTGTGCTTCTATTGCGCTGGAGATGGTTCATGTTAAACTTTTCAGACATTATAAATCTGCAGGTCATAGTATAGACGGTATATATGAATGGACATATATCCTAGCCCCCTAGCATTTTGGCGGTGAATTATTTTGCGGCGCATAGACCTCAATGCAGATCCATAAATCAAAAACGACGGCAACAAGGCAACAGCGACAGTGCACGTTGCGTCAACGCAGAACTATACTTCGCCCTTAAATGTTCATTCATTAATTTGTCCATCCATCCATTTTTTTCCACTTCATTAATTTGTGACAGTAGATAAAGGTGTGGGGTTAAGAAAGTTTTTATATTCCTCATACTCCCTTTCCGACATAAAGCAATCTATGTGTGACAACAGCTTTTGTTTGCTTGTTACGCAAAAGATTTATTTAGTTTTTGCATTACACATATGCATTTATGTTTTTCTGTGTATGGTTTATGTGTTACTGTCCAAATAAACATTCATTCATTCATACTTGAACAACCATCAGTGCTACACCTCTGCCCTCTGCTTTGTGTACCTGTCTGAGTGTAGTGCATCCAGTTGAAAATGACCTCTGGAGCTCTGTACCAGCGCGTCACCACATACCCGGTCATCTCTGTTTCTGTCTGTCGAGCCAAGCCAAAGTCCAGGATCTGAACATATCAGAATTTAATTAACTCAATCCACCTAACACAGTGGCTTTGAGTGTCCAGAAAAGTGCAATATAAGTCTGATATATTATTATTATTATTATTATTATTATTATTATTATTATTATTATTAACATCTGGGCAAATTTATTATAGTAGATTATTATTCAGACCAAAGTTCAGTTGAGTTTCATACTCACTCACAACAGTCTTCAGAATGGTCATGTGATATTATTGTGATGTCTGGTCAACTAATTTATGCAAAATAAAAAACTATTTGCACCACAGTTCTTTGGAGCTCCCAGTATTATTTAATTTTTAATTTTATTATTTTAATTACACCACATTCATTACATGTCATTAAAAAAGATTTTTAAAAAAAAATCTCCAAAGGGAGCTCCAAAGAAATGCAGTGCGGATCTGTTTTTTCTTTTGCACAAATTTTTGTCTTTGGATCCAGCACTCAGTCACAACTTTTATTGGATGTTCATGCCTCTATCTACCAGCATTGGCTATATTCACGCTTATGTCACATACTAAGAAGGCGTTTGGAAACATGCGATGACAACCAGAGGCGGCGTTACCATTAGGCAAAAGTAGGCAGCTGCCAGCCAATTGCCCTCAGTGCCACCCACTAATGGCCTCAAAGCAATTTGATTTTTGCTCAATAAGACATTAAATTCGTTTACTTTTAAACAATAATCATAAGAAAAATAATAATAATCCTATGTAATGCATGTAAACAAAAATGTTATTGTACCAGCAAAAAATAAAACTACTCTCAGTTCTGGTTATCTAGTAGGCGACTGAACCAGTATGACAAGTTTCCAGTCCACCATTATTCAAATAAATAGAGATGTGCAAGTCTCAAGAACAACGGGGAAAAACAGACAATAAATATATATATTTTTTGAAAAGTGCAAGATAATGAGGGCCCCAAACTAAAGTTTGCCTAGGGCCCTCAAATTGCTAACTCCGCCACTGATAACAACTTTTGGCGGGCTCTGTTCACGGTAGTAAGTCTGACAAAATCTAGGAAAAATAAGAAAATGTCCCAGTTTTCTTCATCTACATGTCATTGTAGCATTTCGTTATATTTGGCTAATTAAAAATTACAACTATACCTCAGATTTATCATTTCCTATTTCTGACAGACCATTCCGAGCGCACTGGGTACATGCTGCTCGAAAAGACGAGGGCGCCAAATTCAAGACGATTCAGTTTATGTTTATTGTATTTCAGATATTTTGTTGAGATACTGTCCTGAAGAAGCTGGATGGCAGATGGCACCATTGTCCTTCCTGTGTCAGTAGGAAAACACCTGTGTAAATCAGCTGACAAGATAGACACAATTGCATCATGTGACCGCTCTAAGGAAAACTGAAAGCGTGCAATTGAAACTGTCAGGTATGGAAACTAACTAAACTTTGGTCAGACAAAATTAACCTCACTGGACTCTGAGCAAGAGTTTGATGAGATGATATTAGAAATTTACTGTCATAAATTACCCAGAAACGAGGCTTTCTGGAGGCCTGTGCAATTATTTCCAGCATAACTAAAAAAAAAATCACTCTCACTGCTTCGTAGTGACAGTTATACAAAGGATTATTCATCCATATGAAACAACATACACAATCCTGGATCTGTTTTGGGGCATACACAACAGTATTAAAAGCTAGTTTTTTTCCTGGCCAGTCAAGGCAACTCATTTTTGCTATACTTATACTTATGGGACAGCCAATCAAAAAAGTCATTTCAAAAGATGTCTTAAAATAACAGTGTTCTGCTTTACCTTGAGTTCACAGTTTTCATTCACGGCGAGGTTTCCAGGTTTGAGATCCTACCACATAATAGCATGTATGTGTGAGTATACATATATGACCCCAGAGCAGATGGTGCATATTTCATACTGACCCGATGAATGATGCCTGCTGAGTGAATGTACTGCAGGAACAGACAGAGATACTTGGTAAATACAGGCACACAGATCAATCACTAATAGTTATGACTAACAAAAGGCGTGATATTACATGCATTTCTCCACTGTTACTGCTATTATTACAAAGATTCCCATATCAACTGTCCCTGATATTGCTACTAATGTTGTTACCAGCCCCAGGTGCAGACCAAACTGGCTGTGGCTACATGCACACTCAATATCAGATTATTCTCAGACTTTATGAGTTGTAAGACTTTTAAAATAACATATAAACAGCAAAACTCTCTGAACATGGGCCTTCTTATTGCTGACATCAGATTTTGTGGTTTGTTTGTCATTTAAATAATCTTAAATGTCCAGAAATCAGATAATAAACATATTTTGGTGTGCAAGCAAACAAAGCCACTGTCAACTGTCTTTATATTCATAACACTCTACATCTGCTCTGCTGCTTCCATATCACCTCTGAGAATGTGATCTAAGAAAAAACTAAAACCCAAAAAGTGAAAAACATAACATAACTAAATTCTGTCAGATTAATCACAAATATGAAATAGATTTTAATGTAAAATTTGCAGTGTATCATCTCACTTGTCAGTCAGAGGCGGTGCTATCATTAGGCAACAGTAGGTGGTTGCCTAGGGCCCCCAAACCTGGAGGGGCCCCCCAACTGATTGCCCTCAGTGCCACTAATGGCCAAAGCCTCAGAGCAATTTGATTTTCTCTCAATATGACATTAAATGAGAGCAGTTTACTTTTAAACAAGAAAACACCATCAAAATAGTATCAGATTGTCAAATCTATTTTAACTGTCAAAGATTTCCCCCCCTTTCACGTTAGAATGGAAGAGTCAGCTTGACCCTGATTTTACATAATCACAATCATAATCATAATCATATATAATTGATGTAAACATAAATGTAATTGTACTAGCAAAAAAATAAAACTACTTTCAGCTCTGGTTATCTAATAGGCTATGTGGCTAATAACACAAGTTTCCAATCCACCCTAATTCAAATAAAGATATGCATGTCTCATGAAATAACAACAACAACAACAACAAACCAGTGCATCAGAGTGAGGGCCCCAAACTCAGGTTTGCCTAGGGCCCCCAAATTGCTAACTCTGGCGCTGCTCTCAGTTATGAGTTGTAATATGCCCGGGCTTTCTCAATGAAGACATGCTTTTTTCACTGAGACAGCATAACTCTTATCATACAGTCAAAAAAGAAGGAAAAAAAAAATTCCAGCACTGCGAAAAAAATTTACACACGATAAATACTGACCCCCCCCAAAAATATTGTTCCAGCTTTCATATACTGAACAATAAGCCAATATCGTATTTATTGTGATAGGCCTGTTTGGAAACATTGAGACAGCTTTCCCACCTTGAGTCCTCGGAGGAGCTGGTAGAAGAGGTATGTGATGATGCGCTCTGACAGCCTCTTCCTCTTCATGATGTGCCCCAGGTCCTGTGCCACGAATGGCATCACCATGTAACTGTGAACAGCACATATGGACTATATACACACACTCACTGTTTGTCCCTTAAAGGTGCACTGTGTAACATTTTGCTTGTTTCTATGGATATGTAACTACTCTGCCTGGAATGTTCCACAGTATGATATTAAACAGCTCTATCTTTCATTTATTCAATTACAGGTGGTTTTGTTTCTCAAAAATACCTAGAAAAACAGGCATTCTCACTGTGACTTAGTCTGTTTTGGTTTCCATGGAGACAAAGTTTTTAATGCCATACTGTAAAACATTCCAGACAAAGCAATAACATCTCATTGAAGAAAAGCATTTGACGGACCCTCTACCAGAAAAGTTACACAGTGCACCTTTAAAAGAAGAAGAAAAACTCCAAACAAACAAGAAGAAACACGCTAACAATCTCACTCCTCCACACAAGCACCCACACGTATGGAGGTGTATCAGGTAAGAATGTACTCACAAAGTCTGGAATGTATCCAAGGTAGAGGCTGGGGTGAAGACATTCAACAGAGAGATCACCTTCAAACAAAACACGCAATGATGATAATTATAGTGCAATTAATTAATCACTGTCAAAAAAACAACAAGCATTCTTAGATCAGAGCTTTCCTGGAATTCATATGAGCTCAATCCACATGAATGCAACTGGAAAACATCCAAAGGAATGTTGGAAACTCCTATTTAAAGGGCCTCTATTGCACTGTTTTCTGATCTATGTATGTTATAATGTTGTTTCCTCATCACAAACATACCTGGAGTTGTGTTTTGTTGCATTCACACATTTTTAACATACAAACCCTGCATATTTAGGCACTGAACTAAAGGTAAAAGGAGCTGTTAGCTTGCATAAACTAATGCTTCATGACATCACAAGGTGGAACAGAGCATTCTGAGCTTTGGAGATGTAGACGGACTAAAGGATTACTCGAACATGCGTGAATGAAAGCAAACATAACTCCAGGTACATTTTTGATGTAAGGTTGCAGCATTATACATGGCTTAAAGCTCACAAGAGTCAATTTTATCGAATATAGGACCTTTAAGGTATTAAATAAAAGTATGATTTATGATACATATGATTTATGTAGCTACTTCATCAGAAGCTTGGGAATCTTAAAATTTCTCCTATTATTTTAATCAGAGACATACATTGGAATACATATTTGTCAGACATAAGCATAATTTAACTTTTTTTACAGGCTGTTGCCATATGTTCAGGTAGCACCAACTCTTGGGCCTTGGATAAGAATCAACTTGTAGTGTATATTGTAGACTTTGTGAGGGGCCCCTGCCTGCACTGGGCCATAGGTAACCAGTACCCTTTAGCCTCCACCCCCCAGTCCAAACCCCTTCATATGTTTGGTTTGTGTTCTAAAATAAGTTTTCTTAGATTAAAGGTGCACACTGTAATTTTTTGGCATGGAGGTCCATCACCTGCCTATTTCTGTGGATATGTCATTACTCTGCCTGGAAAGTTCCACAATATGACAGTTCTATCTTACATTTATTCATTACATTTTACATTACATTTACATTTTATAGCTCAAAAAGTCCTAGAAAACATGCATTCTGCAGATGCATGCATCCACAGATCCGACCTGTAACTTGGTCTGGTTTGGTATCTATATAAAGATAGAAAGGTTTTATACCATACAAGGCAATAACATCTCTGTGGAGAAAAGCATTTGATGGACCCTCCACCAGGAAAGTTACATAATGCACCTAGGGAGAAGTACATTTGGTGAAAAAACAAACAAACAAACAAACAAACAAACAAACAACAACTATATTAATGTAATGTCTTCAAGCAATCTTTGTTATAAATTAATACTATAATTTCAGACTAAATTTTGATAAGAAAAAACACCTAATGCTCTATGCCAATTTCACTACCATAATGTTTATTCAAAATCATCTATAGAATGTTTCAATCAATCAAACTTATTTATGGAGTGCTTTTCATACAAAAAAATAAATTTCATACAAAATCTGATATAGAACAAGACCTTTCTAAAATTATTCAGGAAAGACTCACTTTGGTTTCATAAATTATCTTTGCCCCGTATTGATACCTGTGCAAATGAGTATTGATAAGTATCTGGGTTTTGTGATTTCTGACAACCCTATTTAAATTTGTATACAAACACATACTAATATTACCACTTTTAACTTTGTACCAGTTTTTGTTTCATGTAAACAGACTCGGTAATTACAAGGATATTAGCCACAGACCACTTCAAAACATCTGCATTTTGACAGAATAGTTGCAAATTCTACCACGGAACTCATAAATCTCCTTCACCCTTAACTATAGCGTCTAGATCTCCCTTAAGAACCTAGAACTAGCCCTTTAGAATTATAGTCAAGCAGAGCCTCTCTATACTTATTTTAGAGACATTATTATTTGGCCACTTGAGCTGGGGACTGGCTGTTTACAGGTAAAACACTGAAGCATGATGGTTCCACAGCAAAAGCACAGAGCAACCTTTAACTGCAGACCTTTACAATAGGTACTTTTCAGGTTATATAATGCGAGGATGGCAACAGCAAGTATTCCCTATTTATTACATAGTATTCACAAAAGAGATTTATAAAAAAAGTATATTCACAAATGTTGAATCTGGTCCTTTATATTAATCTTTAAACCCTTGCTATAGTAACAAAAATGTGCCTATATTGTAGGGACCTCACTTCTCAATTACAATGCATAAAAAAACTAATAAATAGTCAATAGACCTATTATTGCTGGGTTAGTAATTTGACTTACTGTGGAGAATGATAGTTTTATTTTATTTTATTTTATTATTATACACTAACAGTCTAAAGTTTGGACACACCTCATTCAGTGCTGTTTTCTTTATGTTTACTACTTTCTGTTTTATATATGTATGGACAGTGTTGGGGAGTAACAGATTACATGTACCGCAGTTATGTAATCAGAGTACAAATTATGAGCAACTGTATTCGGTTAAATTTACTGTTTCAGTGAGTGGTAACTGGATTACAGTTACTTTGTTGAAATAAATGGATTACAGGGCGGTAATTTTCAGTTTTCACATTTTGGGCTAAACCAGGACTAAAACCAGGACTAAACTACAACTAAACCAGGACTAAAACCAGAACTAAACTAGGACTAAACTAGAATTAAACCAGGACTAAAACCAGAACTAAACTAGGACTAAACAGGACTAAAACCAGAACTAAACTAGGACTAAATTAGGACTAAACCAAAACTAAACTAGGACTAAACTAGGACTAAACCAGGACTAAAACCAGAAGTAAACTGGGACTAAACTGGGACTAAACCAGGACTAATACCAAATCTAAACTAGGACTAAACCAGGACTAAAACAGAACTAAACTAGGACTAAACCAGGACTAAAACTAAAACTAAACCAGGACTAAACAGGACTAAACTAAACTAGACTAAAAGACTAAACCAGAACTAAACTAGGACTAAACCAGGACTAAACTAAACTAGGACTAAACTAGGACTAAACCAGGACTAAACTAGACTAAACTAAACTAGGACTAAACTAGGACTAAACTAATAGGACTAAACCAGGACTAAACTAAAGGACTAAACCAGGACTAAAACTAAACTAGACTAAAAGGACTAAACTAAACTAGGACTAAACAGGACTAAAACTAGAAAGACTAATAGACTAAACTAAAAAGGACTAAACTACTAAAACTAAAACTAAAGGACTAAACTAGGACTAAACCAGGACTAAAACTAAACCAGGACTAAACCAGGACTAAAACTAAAACTAAACTAGGACTAAACCAGGACTAACACCAGGACTAAACTAGGACTAAACTAGGACTAAACCAGGACTAAAACCAAAACTAAACTAAAAAGCATGACAATATCAAGTAATCCAAAGTATTCAGATTACGTTACTCACTCTACATTTTGGTGTGTGTAATCTGTAATCTGTAGGGGAATACATTTTAAAAGTAACCTTCCCAACACTGTGTATGGATGACATCAAATATATAAAGAAAGGAAGAAGGGAAGAAAGAAAGAAGGAATAAAAAAAAAAAGTTAAAGTTTTTGCCTAAAGTTAAAAATAACTAAAACCCTTAGACTTCTCTCAATAATCTTTATAATACAGTCGCCTGAAAAAAGTCTCCAAAGCAGTGGTCAAAGCAAAGAGTGTCGTTTATTTATTTATTTATTTGTAATCTAAAGCAAGTTTTGAGTATTTAAAAAAATTTTTTTGGACATATAGTATTCATAGTTTTGATGTCTTTAGAGAGAATCTACAATCTAAATAATAGAAAGAGAAATAGGAAACTTTACTTTTGACTGGTGGTGTATGTCAGTGGTTGCAGTGACATGTACACTCAAAATTATCTGAGTTTTGAAGATATAGGAATGTTAAAATGACATGCAACAGCAAAATCATCTTATTTCTTTCTGATCATGGTCCCTCTGATCCCTCCCTATGCACATCAGATTTTGAGGTTTGTCTGTCCTTTAAATAATCTTAAATATCTTTATAATCTTTCTAATAAAGTCATCTGAAAAAAGTCTCCAAAGCAGTGGTCAAAGCAAAGTATTTTTTTTTGTAATCTAAACCAAGTTTTGAGTAATTTTACATTTTGTTTACTACATTCCATATGTGTCATTTATAGTTTTGATGTCTTTAGAGAGAATCTACAATCTAAATTATCAAGGAAATAAGAAATGAGAAACATAACTTTTGACTGGTAGTGTATATCAATGGTTGCAGTTAGATGCACACTCAAAGTTATCAGAGTTTTGGAGATATAAGAATATTAAAATGACAAGTAACAGCAACATCATCTTATTTCTTTATGATCATGAATCAGAAATTAGATAAGAATCAGATTTGGGTGTGTATGTGAACAAAGCGGCCACCAATCTCAGGTATTTCATCTCTACATCTGCTCTGCTGCTATTCACAACCCTAACCCTAACCCTCTTCTGAGAATTTGTCAGAAAAAAAAAAACCATCACATAAATTCTGACAAATGAATGACAAATATGAAATAGATCTGAATTAAAAAACTGCATTGTTTCTGAAGGAGCTTACATTGTCGTGCTGTATATGGCGTAGAAGTCGCAGTTCTCTGTAAGCTCTTTTAGCGTGAATCAGGGACTGGAAGGGTCTGTACAGCTTCTTGATGGCCACCTTCTCTTTAGTCTTCTGGTCAATGGCGGAGCTGAGGAGACAAATAAGATCAACTGGAGTAGAAACACATTAAAATCCAAAGAGGAAGATGGTTTGAACTAGGGTTGTCAAAAGTATGGAAAATCAAATACTAATCGATACTAATGTGAACCATATCAGGAAAAGAATAAGACCACATAGACTAGTATACGCTACGGGGTGTAACAATATCCAAGTCTTACGACACGATATCATCACCGTCCAAACCTTACGGTACGATATTTATTGCGATATTGTGGGAAAGCTCACGATATGGTGGGGAGGCTCATGATTAGGGATGTAACGATGTCGAAATCTCTCAGTACGATATTTTCACGATACACAGATATTTATTGCGACATTTTGTGGAAGTCAACAAAACTAATAATATGTGACTTTTTCCTCTTAAAATGCCTTGACAAGACTTAATCCAAAGAACTAAAACTTAAAAGTGCTTAGAACTGTTATTTCTTCTTGTAGTTTACGCTGAAATGGAGCAAAGGATCATGGTCTATGTATTTCCCACAGTTTTTTTTAGCCCATGCTGCACCATAATTCTTAATTTAAGCAAAGAGACCTGGAATTCAATAAATTGTGATGGCCCACGATATTATTGTGAGAACTTTGATGATACAATATCACGATATTTTGGTTACTGTTACATTCCTACTAGACGCCTATGGACCACTATGGAACTTACCTGGACCACTGAGGGATTTCACAGATTTAAGATCACATGGCAAATACATAGAAAGTACTAAGATTTAAAATAGCTGAAAATCACATTCTATTGTTTAAAGAAAAACGTTTTTTATTATCATCATGGTATCGGTGTCTGTAATGAGTATTGAGTCTATTCCTTAGTACTGAAATTGAGTTTGAAATTTTAGCATTGTGACAACACTGGTAGATCTAGATCCATCAAACTGCCTACACCTGAGAACAACAGATGATAAGAGACACGTCACGAAGGCGGAAGTGCTACCGCTCAAATATGTCAGGTAAATAAGCTATTTCGCTTTTTACAATTTGTCTGAAGAAAACAAAGTTTCTATATAAAAGGAGTGCAAAATTAATTCTATAAATATATTAACATAACTCTTCCAAAGCATAACAGTCACGCCTTTAACTTTAATTTTGACTTTATCTGCAGATTTGTGATTGTATTAAACCGTTCTATCTTCTTGGAAACCAAACCAGACCAAGTTACAGGTCAGATCTGTGGAGAGGCAACCCTGCTCACAGTCAGAATGCCTGTTTTTCTATTTTTGAGCTATTAAAACCACATGTAACTGAATAAATGTAAGGTAGAGCTGTTTCATGTCATACGGTGGAACATTCAAGGCAGAGCAACGACATATCCATAGAACCAAGCTGGTGACATACCCCCAACTAAAAAGTTACATATTGCACTTTTAAAGGCAGTACCATTCCACTTGTGTTTGACCCCAAAATGGATGCAATGATGCGCCCAGTTTCTCCACAGTGCAGTGTGACTTTGGCCTGGCTGCTCAGATTCCAGACCCAGATTCCAGTGTTCTCCTTCAGACCTGCAGGGACACGCTGAGGAGCCCGGGGCCACAATGGAGGCTCTATCTGTAATCACTGGGCCCTTCAGAGAACTGGCACCAAGGCTGGCTCTCAGCGCACTTTACAATCTGACAGAAAATACTTTGTGTCACTGAGCCGTAACTTATCACTTTCACTGGAGTCAGGATAGAAGTATGACTAGGAAAATGTTGAATGACAATTGTAGGATATCAAAGAGCAAGGCTAGTGTGATAAGAGGCCCGAGGCACTGTAATATAATATAATATAAAGAAAACTCCACCTGATAACTTTTGGAAAAGGTCGTTTAAGTCATTCTATTAATATTGTGCATTACTAACAGTGTAATGGCTGTGTGTGTAATAGGCTATACTAGCACAAAATGTAATTGCACTTTTTTGAGGCTACTTTTAGACTTTTGTCATATAAATTCCTCCAACAGCACGACCTTTTGTCTTCAGACACAAATCTTACAAAGCCTTGATGTGTTGCTATTGTCCTTCTATCAGATGCAGATGCAGGGCAAACATTATACTTACCCTTGGGCCTACCATAAAATGAAGGGGCGTGTTGCAGCTATAGCAAGCCATACCCAAAGCTTTTTACTTTTATGGGCCGTGTTTACGCCGCCTCAGGTTTACGCGCATCATTATCTTTAAAAGAGACAAAGATAAAGACCTGACAAGATCACCTAACTCTTAACCTACTGTTTTGTATGGATTCAATTAAGGTGACATGTCTGCAGAAAGGGTAAAGCCAGTCAACTGCCCTGTGCCAATTATGTGCCACTTACTTACCACACAGTCCCGTACGCGCCAGATCCAACCGAGCGGAGCTGCGTGTATCTCTCCGGGACATCCCACGTGGTTTTCTGCACTTCTACACGGTAATATCCTGGTCTCACCGGGGAATCACTCACCGGGGACCCCATAGCACCGTCTCAGTAGTTCGTCTGTGGTGTCTGCGCTCCTTTAGTGCGCCCAACAGGTGAGGCAGGTAGATCTACAGAGGCGGGTGGACTGTGGACACGCCTCCGAGCGCTCTCAGCTGTTTCATAGTTCTGAGCTGTCAAATGCACCAGTCAGACAGACAGATATTTAGAATTAAAACAGAAATCGAAATTAGACAAGCTTATTTATTTGGAACAGGGCCCATGCCTGTATTTTTTTTTTTTTTTTTAGAAAGAATTGGGAGGGACTTATGAGCAAAGACTGGTTCCTCAAGTGTTTAACAACTCAGAACAATAGTCTGATAACATCAAGTGAGGCCAAGTCACTGGTCAAACAGTAACCAGAGTTGATAGCCTACTCAACCGTGTAGCTGCATTCAAAAAGCCACGTCTTCGCTTCAAACAAACAAAATGATCAAGCCTAGAGTAAACTCATAGTGTCCTCGCCGTCCCTCCCAATATTAACTTATTTCCTCTTCCTCTGAGATTGATCACCTGTAGACTTTTAATATAAATGTGAATTATCCTTGTTGGCCAGCAGAGGGCAGAAACAGTCCAGAATCTACAAAGTCTTGAATGCGATCTGATTTGGTCTAGACTAGAGTATAATACTTAGTACACAGGCTATACAGTAGTAGGCTATTAATACTGGCATATGCTGAAGTAAAAATAGGCATAGCTACAAATGCGATCTAAGAATTAACACACTTGTCCTAGGTTAATCTATGAAGTGATATAAAATTAATCTAAAGTAAGGCTATTCCATAAATGCTTTACCTTTTTGGTAGACTGCTAACTTATTGATATTACAAAAACTGTTTGCATAACATTCCTATCATACACTGTGTACATAGTGTAAGCGTGTTATGCTTTGTTATTAAAATGTGTGCAAGCATTTTCACACTGGGAGAAGTAAAATATCGGTAGTCTAATAGGCAAGGCAAGGCAAGTTTATTTGTATAGCACAATTCGTACACAAAGTAATTCAAAGTGAGTTACAGATGCGAAATACGTTAAAATCACAATACAAACAAACCAAAACATAAAAATCATCATAAAATTAAAAAGAAAAAGAGAAAGACATTCAAACATACAGAGAAGAGTAATACGATGGCCTTAAATATAGTGTTTAAGTGTTTATTTAAGTTTTTTTTTTTTAATGCCTAATCAAATATAGGCTAGAAATTACTCCATTTAAAAGAAATAAAACGAAAGTAAAATACACTTCCGATTTTATTTTGAAGGACTCATCACCATACCTCCGGTGCTTCCGCTGTCTGACTTGACTAACTATACGCGGCACACTCGCTTCTTGTCGGGTTCATTCAGAGGAGCAGTCCGCTGTCCCGGGCGCTCGTCTCGGTAAAACAACACGCCGTATTCTTTGTGTATTTGGAGGACGATCCGCGACACGCCTGCAGACTCCAGAACTCACCTCAGGGACTTGATTTTCATTTTACTTTTGTGATTGTTTAGTCGGATTTTGAGGAGGACCGGACAGACTCTTGGCTGAAGTGGATGTGAACTCCCAACTAGCCCCGTGTTTGGGTGGGAAGGTCTGGGTCACCCACAGGGCAACAGGCGAGCAGGTATGTTTTTCTGATTAAACATCAAAATACAAAAATAAAATGTGATTTAAAAAAAAAAAAAAAAAAAAAAGATATATAGACATCCTAAGAATTTCCCCGTTTGTAAATGTGTAAGCTATTCAATGATATTCAGTGGCTGTTATGTGAATAATGTTAAAATCGCGTTGTTTAGGCTGCTTATGGTTTTACTTTATTATATGAAAATCGGATTTTTAAAAAATAATCAATTTTAATCATTTAATCATTCATTTAACTATCACACAGCAGGGAATGTCCTATTGTTTACACTGGAGACCATCCAGTGTCCACATGTCTGATCTAAAGGTTCATTGTGTAACTTTTCTGATGGAGGGTCCTTCAGATACTTTTCTCTGTGGAGATGTTATTGCTTGGACTTGCTGGTTGGAATGTTTCACAGTATGGCATTAAACCTTTCTATTTTCACAAGACCAAACCAGATCAAGTTACATGTAAGATCTGTGGAGAGGCGACTCCGCTCAGAGTCAGATTGCCTTTTTCTCTGGGTATTTTTGAGCTCTACAACTACTTGTAGTTGAATAAATGTAAGGTAGAGCTGTTTAATGCCATACTGTGGGACATTCCAGGCAGAACAATGAAGAAGGTGACGGACCCTGTGCGTAAAAGTTACACAGTTCTTTTGTTTACATTGCAGACCATGCAACGTCCACATGTTTGATCTAATCTTCTTGGACACTGTAATATGAAATCAGTGCTACAATTTTAGCCTCAGACTAAATGTTGTGCTTCCTTAGCTGTCTGCTTGTTTAGTTGTAACAAACCACTCCCCCAGCCTGTCAGGAGGCAGGGGCGCAGGGGGCCAGGGTCAGGCACCTCTCTTTTGTCAGCTGATGGTGGTATGTGTGTGAGCCCTGTGAGCCAAATGTTAAATACCTGTTTCACCTGCTACTGTTCAGCCTGGACATTCACAGCTGTCCATGTAAGGCCAGGCCCAGCACAAGAATGTGTTTGTGTTGAACTGTGCACGTGTGGTTGGCCGTCCATCTCTGCTTTCAGGAATATTAATGCATTTTTGGGTTTATTCATCATTTCAACTCTTCGACTTGTTCTGCTGTGTTTTTGTAGCCTTTAGGAATAGAGGTCATTCTTAAGAGGACAAAGGATGCTGAGATTCCCAAATAACTAGGGAGGCACTGATCAAGCTTTTTCAGTTCTGATACTGATATAGATACTCTGACTTTAATGATCTGCTGATACCAGATATTAACCGATACTAATGTACAGATGGAAAATGGCACGTATTTCCTTAAAACACAGTTAACTTATTACACAAGAGATTCAATTGTCATATGTGACCTTCAAATAACTACAGAACTACTTTGTATGAATGAAAGGTTAAACATTATCAGCCAAAATCAGCCTGTACCTCGCCCAACCAGGATATTTTCTTAATATCATTCAACTGATACTCGATCCAGCAAATTTTTCATTATTGCCCCCAGTATTCGATACCAGTATTGTATTGGAGCATCTCTACAAATAAGAGTTTATGTTGAACTAATAGCTATGCTTTGTTCTTCCTCTGTTAAGAGAGTTCTTCTAATTCAACATAAAGGATCGTTGTGTTAAGCTGAGTGTTATACTGTATGTAACTCTGACCATCTGGTGAGTCATGATACTAATCTGATGGGATGGCAGTTGCTCAGGTGGTGAAGGTTGCCCTTTGCCCACTAACCACAGGCTGGTGGTTCAGTGCTGCTGATGTGTCCTTGGGCAAGACATCAGAACATCTGCTTCTGGTCTAGTGTTAATATATTCTGATGATGATTGAAGCCTTATGGTTCTTGTTCTTTGAGTACCTTCCAAAAATGATTTCATCCTTGTATGTTTTTTGGTTCTCACGTCATAATCCTCAAACATCGACCTTTTGTAATGGCACCACTTGGCTATATATCATTGTTTATTTTGTCAACATTTCAGAAAAAAGATGGTAGAAAGAGGTGTTTTACAAAACTGTGTTTTACAAATAAGTTTGTTTATTCCAAAAATCATGAACTGGAATTTTTAAACATAAAATTTAAAGGTCCTATATTATGCAAAATATCACACTTATAGCTGTGTTAGGATGTTGTTACCTTCTCAGAAACCTGGATTTGTGTTTTTTTCATGCACATGTGTTTGAGTAATCCTTTCTTATTAGTCTGTCTACATCTCCAAAGCTCAGAATGCTCTGTTCCACCTTGTCATGTCATGTAGTGGTAGGTTTTAAGTTAACAGCAATACCTTTTTACCTTAAGTAGAAATGGGCAATTCCAGGGTTAAACAGAGTGTTTTCATTTTGAGAGAAGAACTCAGCCTAAATATGCAGAATCTGTGTGTCAAACATGCATGAAGGAAACACCTTAATGTAAATCTGAAAGTAGTGCAATATAGTCTCTTTAACTGTGCTGTACCCTGTGAGATGCATTCAGGCTTTTACTTTAACTTTTAGGTGGTTCGCATATTGCAGGCAGGTTATGTTTTGAGAAGCGTTTGTTTTTATTCCACTCTGGCCTGTGATTTCAGCTGTTCGGAGACTAGGTGAGGCTCACTCCTGTCTGATGCTCGCTGTGAATAAATCAAACAGGCACTCACAAAGACCTTTCCTAATGTTCTGCAAACTTCTCTAAAAGGAGAAGAGACAGTTAATCTGCTCTTCCTTTGTTTGACTTGTTCCTATAGAAACTAATCAAATTCTTCCATTCAAAATAACTTCTCCTTTGGTTTCATTTATTTGTAGAGTGTTGAGCGGTCTCTCTTTGTTAGATTTTTGTGGTCGTGCAGCCCTGCCTTGAACCTGTGCGCTCTTTTCCTTTGAATCTCCATTCTTGAATAGCTGACCATCTGTCTGCTGTAGGCCCTACGAGTACCATATCATGTTACCCCACTTGTCTGAGCTATACAGTGGGGGATCTACTATATGAAGTTGTATTGCATTGAGTCTACACCAATATCCTATACTTTGGTAACTGCAAAGTAAGCCTGTGATGATAAGAAATTGTGAAGTGCTATACATTGCTGAAGAAAATATTGCTGATAAGTGATAATATTGAAATAAATTTATGCTACTGAGACCCTTAAGCAGAATTATTCCCAAAAAAACTATTCTAAAATGTTGTGATCTGCCATCTGCGTTTCTCTATGTAGATTTTTATTATTTCTTTCTTTTGTCTGAAATGTTTCGCAGTATGGCATTAAACCTTTCTATTGTCATGGAGACCAAACCGGGCCAAGTTACTGGTCAGAACTGTGGAGAGGCAACCCCACTCACAGTCAGAAAGCATGTTTATGTAGGTATTTTTAATCAATAAAACCGGCTGTAATTGAATAAATGTGAGGTAGATCTGTTTAATATCATATTGTGAAACATTCGAAGCAAAGCAATGACATATTCATAGAAACAAAAAGGT